CACTCTCTGCTCCACGGACATCTAATTAGCATAGCTGTTTTTCAACGCCCTGCCATCTTGATTATTTCTGACAGTAGATTGGCCTATGGTCATTATAAATACCCTTGTTTTGTTGCCACTTCTCACCTCTGAAGTTAGACTCCTGCAAGAGTTCGAAAGCTCAGGACAATAAATCTATTGATCCGGTGCTCGACAAGTCTTCTTCCTTATCCAAGGCATATATAAGTAGTAATATAAGTGATTGAAGGGCGTGTTCTTTGACGAGCCAGTCCACATTCATAATGACCAATTAAGTGAATCCGACAGATATTCTACATCTTTTTGACGTAGACGAAGAATATGAATATCCTCAGGCTATAAAACCATATCCTGTCACTACAATATTTGAGTATCAAATAATCAGATGCGGTTAATAGTCCCACACTTTTCTCTCCTATTGTCACCGTGTGAAAAGATGTCATTTTCTATAGTGTTATTATTATTATTCACAGATGTCCGTGACATCACTTCCGGAAATAACTTCCAAAATACCACCGAACGCTCACCATGACTTTGATAACCTGATATAAGGTTAATTTTCCTGCTTCTAGTTAACGCCTTAAAAACACCAAAAAGATGTTAGAACTTACCGCTTGACATACAGAATGGACATCCTTAACGTAATTTGATCAACCTTAAAGCTGTCTGCTCATATTGCTTCCTTTCCAACTTCTCATATGGCCTCGCTTTCTGAAGGAAATCGGCAAGCGCACGAGTATACAGTAATAACTTATTATCATTCAAGTCTAAAGGGAACAAAGTGGCCAAGATACATGCGACGTCTGTTAATTGTTGACTTTAGGTTCTTTTTAACTTCAGCTGGCAGATGCCTCCCGGGTTAAAACGTACGTTCGTAGCATTTCCTGCCTATCCTTCGATTTAATAAACTACCGATATTAACTATGGCGTCGTACGGTAAAAAAACCTAAATTAAAACAGTTCTGTGGAGTTTGGCTAATGCCTCAATCAGCGCAGTCATCACCATAGGCATTGGCTCCGGGCTAATCGCGTCGAAGACTCTCTTAGGCATGTAAACATTTGTATAACCAAGACCCGACGTTACTGTTCTACAGCAAGAACCTTTTCAAGGCACTAATTCTTATACATGCGTACCAACAGAGTCCAGCATATTTTAGAGTCGCGCTTTCATTTATACAGACCACGCATGCAGAAATTTGGGCGCAAGACAGACATATGATGTAATTAGCAATAATTGCAGCTGAGCATCTGTGTTGTAGGTACTTGCCACAATTTTGGCAGAAAAGGAACATAACAATGAAATCGCTTTCCTAGACGTCCTCTTACACAGACAAGAGGATAGTTCAGTACGGCGCCTGATATTAGGAAATGTAACCTGGACGTGGCATAACCTTAGTTTCAACAGTTTCGTTCCCTTTACTCTCAAAGGAAATATCGTTCAGAGATTGGCAGACAGAATTCGACATATCTGCCCTCCTGAAAGAGTGGAAGTAGGGTTGCAGCAGCTACAAAGCACACTCCACAAAAAGGGTTATCCAGAAAGGTTCATCCTCCGAAACAACAAGGAGCGTGTCACAAGAGCTGTCGTCGCAATGGCCGAATAGAAAGATTTATTCATAAGATTGCCGTTTCTAGGAGAGGCAGCGAGTGAACTGGTAAGGTGACGTCTAAGAGTAGCAGTCAAATGTGCCTTCCAGGCGGCAAACATACGCGTATCTTCACCAAATCCCCTTTTTCTACGCATACCGACTACCGTTCCAGGCCACATCCATGTGCACTTACTCCTTCACCTGCTCCTGTCGAGCGGGATATATTGGCGGAAGAGCGCA